CAGGATTGTGCACACTGCTGCAGACAACCGTTGGAACCAGGTAACAAAGCCCCAGTGAACCAGTTAGCCACCTGGCTTACGCAAAGCTCAGATACATAAACTGGCACTTTCAAATGTATGTAAACTTCTTAGGAAGGTAAACCTCTTAGGAAGGTACTTACCTTAGTGTAAAAGGATATTTATCACTGTGCTGTATGTGTGGGTGGGTTCCTGTTTGCTCTTTTCCCCCTTTTTTTGATTGAAGCATGTGTAAAGTGAAGAAATATCTTACCTAACAATGCCTCCTCTGTGCTCAGGTATATTTGAACTTTTAACTCTTGCCCTGAGTGTTTCCTGCAACGATAGAGGACACATTTACATTTTAGTTTTTTTTGGGGGGGGATTACCTGAAAGTAAATCTCTGTCCACCTCCATGTTTGCTTTGCGTTGATTTGGTGTGAGTCAGATTGCCACACAAATGCAAAAAGGAAGACTTTCTTTTCCAAGTCTAATCCCTGCACTCCCTTTACTGTACTCGGCTTTACGTGGCCGTGTTTGAAGCTTTCTATTTAATTGCCAATAGTTTCTGTGACTAGAGTTTATTGAACTTCATAGTTACTACATATTTGCCATTCTGCCTCCATGTGGGGTCACAGTGTTAGAAAGTGCACATACACATCTGTGCATCAGTCAGCATGTGGAAATAACTAAAGCTTTTGTTCAGGTTCTCCACCTACATTTGTTGGCAAATACTTAAAAGGTCACAAGTGATCCAAGCAAACAAGTTGACAGTGAGTGATAGTTAATCTTTAATTTCTTTGCATATATGTTCAAATAGCTCTCTAACATCTGAAACATGTGAATCTCCAGTGCCTTGCAAAAGCATTTGCACATCTTGAACTTATTCACGTTTTGCCATGCTTCAACCACAAAGGTTAATGTGTTTTATTGGGATTTCATGTAATAGATCAACAAAACTTACTTAGGAATTATGAAATGGGAAGAAAATGATGCACTTTTTTCAAAGCTTTTACAGTACAAGTTTTAAGAGTAGCTGCATTTCCATTGCAAATGTTTACAAAACTTTTTTGATATTCCGCCGCTAATGTAAAAAAAAAAAAAAAAAAAAAAATGCAAAATTTTTTGTTT